GTTCGTACTACGCTCTCTAGGTTGTAGACATAGTTATATGACTCGCGTAGAGCTTCGCTAGTCCAACATGCTTTAGCTGCCAGTCGAATAAGTGCTTCAGATATCTGATCAGCCGCAGCAGAGTTTCGGTCTATTCCATACCACATAGACACAGAGTGAATCAGCATTTGTTTGTAGTGACCCGACATATGTTCATATGGCAACTCTCTAGACATCTTCTGAGCCAGCACCATAGGATGTGGCAAGGTCGGCATACTTGGACTAAGCTCAGGAAGTCGAGAGTCTAGATTGATAACGTTGTGAGCCACTCCAGCAGCGTTTAAGATTGCTTTAGTTATCACCATCGGGGACACAGACCCATTAGGCAGTAGTGCTTGCTTAGGTAGATGTGTGCCTTGTTGCAGTACAGCTAAATCAGTCGTGACTGTATCTGAGTTCAGCCCATAGATTGTATTGTCTTTCTTGCACGCAGAGGAGGAAAGGATGGTGAACCAAACGCTAGAGTTCATTGGAGTGCTCGTATGGAAAGTCTTTTCTTATATATGAACTAACAAGAGAGGGCTACATGAGCCCTCTTCTAACTTAGATGTTTTTGATTGGGATAAAGGTTGTGGGCTTAGATGGCTGGGCTGAGCCCACCTTCTCCGCTTCGTCCCACGCTTGCTGTTCAGCCATCTTCAATTCAAGGACAGAGTTCTTTGCAAACTCAGCCATCTTTTTAGGGTCTTGGTAGGATTCGCCCAGTTTGGTCAAGTCCACGCCAGCCTCTTTGTTTCGGATGAATGTGACGTTAGATTCTTCCATCATAGAGAATTCGTCTGAGCCTACGCCAGCTACTACATGCAGAGTCTTGTTTTCTTCATCTATAATAGAACAGCTTACAATACTACCACCGCCTACGAATGTCTCTTGTCCGATTTCCTCGCCTTTATAGTTGCGCTTGGTGTGGACTTTGTCGCCATACTCCCATAGAACACGAGAGGGGTAATAGTAACCTGAGAACTTCTCATTGTCTAGAGACTCTAAGAATTGACGTTTAGTCATTCCGCCATCGACAACTGAGTAGATGTATTGTTGAGCGAATTTCAAGTCTAGCAGTTCACCTTCACCAATTAGGGCGCAGTCGATCATGCCGTCTTCGCCTACCCCTTTACGAGGGTTGTCTGCACAGAAGTTTTCGATAAAGGTTGCGCCTAGGCCAGCACCGACTACAATAGGACAACGGTTGTAATAAGGGAGGTTTTCATCTAGACGTTCCCACTTGTGCAACGGGATGCCTGACTTAATTGACATCAGAGGCCACGTAATACGTTCTTGAGGGAACGAGTTGGAGATGATCAGGATATCGAACTCGTATAGGCCACGCTTAGCCGTATTAGAGAACATCATCGGGAGACCTGCAGCCACCAACTTATTTACGTCATCATTCATAGGCATGAATGCATAGTCAACGAAAATATCGTCAGAGAAGTCAGATACGAAGTTACCGATCAAGTAGTGACCGAATGCCCCATCGACAGTCGGGTAGTCAGATAGGCGGACAATACAGATACGGCACTTAGCAGTGTTGAACATTTCCGCGGGTTGGATGTTGAACTCATTGCCCAAGTAGTTACGACCACCGATCTTTAAGCGATAGTGGTTTTCGTCCAGCCACTTAGTGATTGTTTCGCTGATGTCGTCAGGGAAGTAAGTAGGAAGCGCAACGGGAGGAGTCAGCCCAGCACGTGAATATGCAGTATAAGTTAATGCAGGAACCCACGTAGGCAAGAAGTCAGGGTCGAACCAGTGAACGCCTTTAGCATGTAAGTCTACAAGGTTAAGATGTGTCCACTTCATTGCAGCTAAGTCTTTTACTACGTCACCTGAGAGCTGGGCGTTTGTGTTTTCAGTTGGCATTTGCTTGAACCTTACGTTTGATCACAGGAATAGATGTTGAACTCTTTGTCAGATGATACACGATGTCTGCTTCTTCCATAAAGAGAGGTTGATGGCTAATCAGTAGAATATTCATATTGAATTGTTCAGATAGTTCTTTGATTAGTGCAGACGTTCCAGCGATGTGTTTTTCTGAGATGGCTACTAAGGATTCGTCTAGACATAGCAGAGGATAGCGCTTAGATAGTACAAGGAATGTGACCTGTAATACCAATGCGATTACAGCCCATAGACCGCCACCGTTTGAGTCTAGACCGCCCATAGATTGAGGATTGCCATTACGACACAGTTTAAAGTCATACTCAGTCATGTTTCGCTTTGTAGAAGTCACGATCTGAAAGATGATTGAGGACTCAGGAAAGATTTGGTGAATCGCAGAGTTGACCAGCTTTTCTACACGGTCGATTTGCTCCAGCGAAACTACACGAATTAGTTCTTTTAAGAAGTGTGACGCTTTGGTGTGGCACTCATACTCGAATGCGTGATCTTTCAGCGTCTTATTCATGTTCGCTACGTCAGTTGTAAGAACATTGGCAGTTGCTAGAGAAGATCGAAGGGCTTCTTGTTTTTGTGCAAGTGCATGGCGTCTTGCTTGTAGTGCTTCGTGAATCGGGATTAGATTGGACATGAGGCGCCTCATAGTTTCTTTCCTAATATATGCGCTTTCATGTCCGTTCAGTATTACTCAGCGGACACATTAAAGGTCACTAAGATATGTAGCAGGCTGTCGTCTGCTACTGGCTCAACTAAGTATGCTTCAGGGCTTATAAAGAAGTCTACGCGAAAGTCTTTGATTACTTGTCGAGCTTCCATAGATGCCTTCAAATTGCCCCATAGACTCATTGTCATAGAAGTAGATATTTTTAGGACACTGCTGAACTTAGACTTATCTAGAGGGTGATGTGTGATTTCAGAAGGATCAATTCGCTTGATGAATGGATTCTTTAAATACTCTAACACAAACTCAGGACAAGTTGCAGCAGGGACTTCAATCAAGAAACTAAAGCCCTCGGTGTCGTGATCACTAAACTCAGTAGCAGATAGAGCTTTGAACTGTCCATTCGTTTCATTGTAGAGGCCCATAGCTGAACCTAGACGAGAGCGAATATGGATGTTCGATTGAGGTAGGACTTCTTCACGAATACACGCAATTGTGCTCTCTAATAAATTCCGTTCTACAGCATAGAAGTTTTGACCAGTCATTCGTTACCTCTCAAGGAAAGGGCTTGCGCCCCTTCATTTATAGAGAAATTTCATTTGCCGGTTGGCTANAGAAATTTCATTTGCCGGTTGGCTAGCGAAAGGACTCGATTTAGTTTCTGCAAACGGATTTTTATTCTGTCCGCCTAGGCCCGTGACGCTTCCCGATTGTTGGTTCGGGATGGTCATGTCCGAAGGGAGGATCTCTTCTGCTTCAGTCTTATACTGCTCAGTTGTTTGGATTTCCACATCCTCAATTGCAGAACGTTCATCAAGGTTGAGACTATCCATAACAGAAAGGGCAGGTGCTGCCTCACCACGGTCGAGGGCTTCTTCTGCTTTACGTTTGTCGTCAACAACTAAAGAGTAGATTAACTTAGTCGCATCAGCCATCAGTTTCTCGTCTTCACAGAACTTACGTTCAGACGCTACTTTAGAGCCGATGTTAGACCATTCCTCGATGTCTAGGCCTCGATAAATGAACTTGGTTGCACGTTGCTGAATTGCTCCACGTTTCTTGAGGATATCGATGATGTCCAATCCACGCGCCCAGCCCCCACGCTGACCTTTTGCGATTGCAGGGTATTCGAAGTTCGCCATCGTTTTGAGGAAAGGGGTACCGACCTTGTTCTTGATGTTGATGATCTTGACTTTTTGGCCAGTACGTTGTTTCTCCGCTTCACCGCTGATCGCGTTTTCACCCGCTTCGATTTCGATCTTGCCACCATACTCTAACTTCATACGTAGAGAGGCGTAGAAGCGTAGAGCATAACCGCCTGGCACTGTATGTGATTCCATAGGGTTGTAGCCTGAGCCAGTACCTACGTTTTGCTCATACTTACTTGTATTGATGTTCACACGCATTTGGTTCAAGAACAAGATTGCAGTGTTAGTCTTCATTGCATACAAGCGACACTTGTTCACGATTTGACCTACTTTCTTGGCCTGTGCACCTACACGTGCTTCCTTGTCCAGCGCACCTTCAATCAAGTCTTTCGGCTTGAGAGCGTCTACAGAGTCAATAGAGATAAAGTCAATCTTGATGCCTGATGCAATGATCAAGTCTAACAACTGGCCCGCCTCTTCCGCACACGCAGGTTGGAATACTTTGAAGTTATCGTTTTGGACAAGACGATATGTTTGACGAGCGTGGTTTTCATCGAACGCAAATTCGGCATCGATGTGGATTGAGGTTCCGCCCGCTTTCCCGACTTCATGGTGTGTAGATAGAGCCAGTGCAGTCTTACCTGAGTGCTCCATCCCGAATACTTCAGTTAGACGACCTCGAGGAAGTCCTCCTCCAGCCACCAAGTTAAAAGACAGACATCCTGTAGGAATGAACTCCACCTGTTTGTTTGGGTCCAGCACAATATCAGGGTTTGCTTTACCCATAGAGCTGATTACTGATTTTGCAAAAGCGTTCAAAGACATTGTGTGTCTTCCTTTATGCTGAGTGGTTTAATTTGGTAGAATACTTAGACACGCTATGAATACATCCTGCATGGTCTAGTTGAAGATCGATTTCGCCAGTGGCTAAGAAACGATCTTTACTTGCTTGACTGAACAAGATCTTTTGAGAGACTACATTCTTATATAGAGTGTTCGTGTCCTGCCCCATAGCAGCAAGGCTTTCTTTCAATTTGGCTGACGCACGTTGCAATGTACCATACGGGTGAGTCAACTTGCTTTTTGATAGAGACAGACCGAAGTTTGCTCGAATTTTTGTCATCGTTTGTTTATGCACTTCCATAAAGGGGTTGCTTAATTTCCACACTTCAGGGAGGATAGGGGACGTTCTAGAAGAGAGGAACATTTCACGCCATATTTCAGAATAGTAAGTCACTTGATCAACTGTGATGCTTGGTCGAAGGATATAGTCTATCAATGCTACTTCTAAATTGGCCGCATTCTCAC